ATAATAATAATAATAATAATAATAATAATAATAATAATAATAATAATAATAATAATAATAATAATAATAATAATAAGGGTGAATTAGCTCAAGTGGTAGAGTGATAATAATAACAACAACAACAACAATAATAATAATAATAATAATAATAATAATAATAATAATAATAATAATAACAGCTACTTGATTATACCTGAAATACGATGCTTCAAATGTAGAAAAAAACACTTTATGCCTATATCTGACTGGAAAACATGATCAGTGCATCAGGATCGAGTGGTTCTTGCAACAACATTTGATATTTACTACATCTGCACAGTTTTCACTGTAGAACGATTCCTGTGGAGCTATTGAGAAGGTCACAACAACCATTACACCATAAATTCTATACGGCTTTTGAGAAAAACATAAGGATTATACACTGACCCAAAAACAACCGTGGGGCATGGATCTTTTTCAAGGCGGGAATCTCCCAAGACTGCTGCTCCACAGTGGTAAGGTCACTCAGCCAAAAGCTTTACACCACCTTGAGGCAAGTATAAAAAAAATTCTGTGTTGGCTTTGGAACTCATAGAATCGATAGCCAAGCTAGGTGTGCTCTTTCTGAAAGCTGTCTTTGTTACTAGTACTTGATCATTTAAGACGTTACCTAGGTGACTCAGTAGTTTCAATTACTTTCTGTCCTCCATGGATTTTTGCTATGGTTTGACTCCCTCTGCAGTCCTGTGACCCAAAGCTCTGATTAAATGTCTGAACCACTAAATGACCACGCGGCTTTATTGAAGCCGTCTTTCACTAATACAAAGGCCCAGATAATGAAAACAGAACAAGCCCATTGGTCTGCTCATTATCACACTATGAGGCTGCCCTTTGTCAAGCCAATAACATGAGCCATCCCATTGTATCACCCTGTTTTAATAATTACCACGAAGGGGTCGAACCCAAACAGAACTGCTTTAAACTGACTTGCAGGAATCCTGATGAGAATATGGCTGATATCCTGTGGCATCTACAGTCAGAACTTTCATACACTTCTTCCCTCAATGGGATTAAGTCAGAATAAACTCAAATCCGTCCTGCGTGTTGAGTTCCTGCGCGTTACAAACTGCATATTTAATGAGGGTATTTCACTTAGACGTGCACATTTTGCATGGCGGAGGGAGGAGAGTTTTAGCAGCAGCATGAAAGGAGCAACATAAGTCAAGATATGAGGAGGAAAATGTTTCCGAAAAAAGAATTCCTCGCATGCCGGACCACTTTTCCTGTTTTTTTGCCACACGTCTATTTGCCACAGGTAGCTGTGGAAGGCCTTAATTGGTGCGCCAGGTGCTGCCGCTCTGACCCGTGGATGCCGTGTGCTTTTCTGCAGGGGGCGGGCATGTAGACTTTGACGATTTCTGTGAGCTAATGGGGCCCAGGATGCTGGCGGAGACGGCTCACATGGTCGGTCTGAAGGAGCTCCGCAGCGCCTTCAGACAGGTACGGAGGCCCCCCAAACCTTCCCGGGTTTTTTTGGGGTCAAATGTCGCATGCTCGAAAACCCTTTTAAGGTTCAAATTTCCCAAATGTCTTTTAATAGTCCGAGGCCTCCCAACTTTCATTAATTATGATTCACGACAGCATCCCTAGGTCTCCCTATCTGCATGGTACACAGCCCATTTAGTTAAGCTGTAACAAAACACCAGCACGCACATGCTCTCAAGCACATTGTCAAGAGGCCTACGTGGGAATTTGGCAGCAAAGTCTCTCTCCAAAACAAGCATGCATGTTGCTTATCTGACTCTTTTTCCTCATTGTGAATTTGTTTTTTAAATTTCTTAATGAAAACTCATTTAGTCGTCCCTGTGTTACACGGCCTGTGGCAGACAAAATGCTTTCCAAGAAGAAAAAGCATTGTGCTCTAAAAACCAACATCCTCCAGCTTAACTGAAGTTTGCAGCTGAACACCCCGACAAAGAAAAGGCCATGTGGCAGATATTTTGAGAGTTACAGGACGATTGTTCTGTTTGGTCAAAATGTCACTTGTTCAATTGGTGAGATTATTGGATTAAAGACCCCCCCCCCCCAATTTAGTCCACACCAGCTGTGTCAAATAATAGTGGAAATAGCAGTGGCACAATTACACTAAATCACCCCCTGGTCATCAAATAGATAAAAAAAAAAAAATGTAGCAATAAGTTTTTCTGGAGTTCTTCCTCTTTTTAAGTTCAAGTAATAGATCAGAGATACCCAGTGCTCTGTCACAGGCAGGGAACAAAAGTAATCTGGTCAAGATATAATTTCTTAAGTGACGTTCAGCCAAATATCAGATCTACACATTTAAACACTGGTTCGAATCTCACTATGGCCCTGTGTGCTATTATTGGTTACAACTAAACAATAAAACTATTCATTTACCCTCAGTTCAGCCTCATCTATCTCTTAGTTGGGAGATTTATCTGCTATGAACATTATTTACAGCTGAAAACACACCACAAAAGAGCTCTGAAGCCCTAAAACACCTTATTTACATGAACATAATAGCATTCATGCCCCAGTGTCTACTTTTGCCATTCCCACGGTGAAAGGGTGCCGTTAAAAACCAGCAATCCATATGTTCTTTTTTTGTTTCATTTTGTTTTTCCTGACTCCATTTGTATGGGATAATGAATTATCTCCCGCTGAACAGAAACAAACTTCAGAGCACCGGCTACACTTTGAAGGAGAATGAATTTTTAACTCATTCCAATGAGTCAATTAGGAGGTCTCTCTCTTTCTCTCTTTCTTGGGGAGAGAGACCTCTTTGTGAGTCAGCGATGAACCATCTGCAGACGGCAGCTGTTTTCACCGTAGCATGGGCCTAATATTGCTGCTCTCTAATACAATTCTGACTCTCTGCTCCCGCCACTTTTATTGTACTTTCATTTTCCCTTGTCTCTGCTGATCGTATTATGGTTTCTTCTCTTTATGACATGTCCCCCTCTCACCCTGCGCACGGCAGTTTGACTGCGATGGTGACGGCAAGATCACACTCGACGAGCTAAAGGAGGGCATGAAGACCCTCCTTGGAGAGAAGCTGAAAAAAGGCGAACTGGAGGAGATCCTCGGAGACATTGACCTGAACAAAGACGGCAGCATCGATTTTGACGGTGAGTGGATGGAAACGACACGAGTCTGTGACAGGAACTCAAGCCCAGCAAAAATCCCCCTTTTCCAATTATGCACATAAATTGTTTCTATATCAAATAAGCAACCAATTAGAATTAAAGATTGATGATATGCTCCTGATTAGGCTTCAGTTGTCAGCTGAAAGCCATGTGTGATTAATCTAAATAGTTTAAGTAACTAAAAGCCAGCTACAACCCAAACACATACACAGATCCCACAAAATATACAACCTGTAATCTATACTTGGTGAATATTATAGATGATAAAGAGGCAAATGAGTCTTTTAAAGCTCGGCCTTCTGTATAAAACAGTTCCATGTTTATTGGGTCCTGTTTGTGTTTATTTAATTTGGGCTGAAGTCAGGACTTTGTTGATTCAGCTGTAGATTCTCATGGCATGGCTCTTCCCTCATTATCTACCATCATAAAAGTTAGAAATGAAGCGACTTATCAAAACAAGGACCTGTAAACTATCTATAAATCACTCAGTTACTCCTCCACGTCTGTAAGACGCATCGGATGTGGATGAATCTTGGCAGGAATTCCTGGTAGGGGAAGTAGCATCAACTTTGTTATCACGTGTAACATCAATTGTAACCCAGTGAAATCTGCCTAATCTGTCTGAAAAAGCACAGACGTCTTTGCCACATTCACAGTGTGGAGTATATATTAGGCAAGAATGCAGGCGAGAAAGGACAAAGTATTTCTCATGGGGTCGGGTTCTGGATGGAAGTGACAGAGGCAGAAAATCACCCAAGGAATGAGGCTGGAAAATGTCGAAAATGGGGAAGGAGACACAGTTAAGTCAAGGTGGGATGGCTGAAAAGGCCAATCCAATTTGATCAGCAGCGCGTCGGCTCTCCAGTGTACACGCTCGCACACCTGTCACATGCGACACACAAATAAGACTCAAGGACTCCGCAGGAATTACAACCCCACGTGCCGCTTCCACAGACAAGTCGGCCGTCCACAACTTGGCCGGCCCTGAAACAAAACGTGCTCGCCTTTGCGCACACGTGCAAACACCTTGGGCACAACACGCATGATAATGTGATCAGGTCCGGGCGCTCCAATCGATTACAATTATTGGGAGCACGTGAGAATGGCCTGTCAGTCTCAGAGACGATCGATGAGCGGAAGCTTCTCATCATTGTAAGTCAGTGTTTCAGACCGGTTTGAATCACGTCGGCACGACTCACAACGCCGATTCCACCATTTATTTATTATTTGGCTAATGTGGAAACTTGCTTCAATTTGTATCTAAAGCCAAACAGATTCACATCTGCTGTGGAGGGTGATTTTGGTGGCGTCAAAGACAGTGAAGCCTGCCTTAAGCCATCTGCCTCCATGTTTTATTTCTCACCTGGGTTGATGTGGCCCTAATGCAGCACATGGATTCATAATTAGAATTCACGCTGATGAGCAAACCCAAGCAGCAATCTGCTGACTGCAGTCAGTATAAGCCAATATATGCTCGATATTAAGGATTTGTGAAAATAGATAGAGGAAAGAAGAATTAGTGCTTCTTCTCTGATGAGCCAATCGGCGGCAGAGCGGGTAACAATGGAGGCACTGTGCCACAGCACGTGGGTTGCTGTGAACAATGTGGCCGCATGTCTCTCTAGTGTTCAGCCCCTCTCACTGGCTCTTCTGTGTCTCCTGCAGAGTTTGTTATGATGCTTTCCGCCCGGTGACCTCTCGACGGAAGCCGTTGGAACCGGATCCAGGAGGCGTCCACCCAGAACTCCCGATCCCGCCCGTGTGGCTCGACGTGTTTCGCTACCCGATTTGTAAAATTAGGACGTAAAAGAAGTCTCTCTATTTTTCTATCATGAGCTGAGGTCGACTTAGTGCAGTGGGTAAAGGGTGAGTTATAAAACACTTTGCTGCGACAAAAATGCTGCGTGGTTGCCACCATGTGGCAACATGCTTTCCACTGGATTTCTGAGTTTTTCCCTCGGAATTGATGTGATATTTATTTTGCAGTTTTTTTGTTTTTTTTGCTGAAATGACACAAGCATAACTGTGTACATTTGGAATGTTCTGATGTGGCTGCTCTGTAGACATGTGGATGTACTTATTTTTTTACTTTTCTTAAACACAAATCTCAGCATTCTCCAGAAAAATGTCTTGTTTCCTACTCATGTAGTCTCTTAATAAAATGCCCATAAAAAAAGGACATGAAGGCTAATGTTGAAAAAAAGTGCATTTATTATTGAAAATCGATAACTTAAAACATCTGAGCAAAAAGCAAGAGTCGTCCAAAAAGCCTTTGTACAAATGGTTTACATTTAAACAGCCTTTTTTAAAAGTTTTTTTTGTATCTTTTACAGATAACACTTTAATTCTGACTAACAGAGAAAAATAATATATAAAAAGAAAACTAAAAAAAACATTCATGCTATGGCAAAAAAGGGAATGGTAACCAAGCCACCGCATCATGGTATTCTTATCACAATGCGCAATGGTGTAAGGCAAATGCCCCCCTCCCACCCCCCCGCCCCGAAGCACTGCAGGTACCCCCCCTCTCTCCCCCAAGCAGACAGAGCAGCTTATTATGAAGATTAACACTCACCCCTTTTATGTGTAATGATTTTATTTCTATTCATAGTATTGCAAGATCCCCCTCAGTATTTCTGAAACAAAACATAAGTCCCAATGTACAAATGATCTTTTCCTCAGAAATGAATGCAATCCAACAGGAGATTGGACTTTTGGTTTGAAGGAGAGGAGCGTGTTTACGACAACGGAGCGGGGCGAATTGCTCACGATGTCTCCCACTCCTGCAGAATTTCAGCATTAGGGAAGGACACAAACGTGCGGAAGATAGGGCTGATTCATTACGGTCAACTTAGACGCCAACCGAAAAAGGACAGCGCCGACCCCGAGGCAGTCACGGGAAGAGAGGTTCAAGAAAAAAAACAACTAAAAACATTTTGAACCATAGTAAAAGAAGTGAAATTTCAGGGTCACACACTCTTTACATAGAAACCTGGGGAAAACAAACAAACAAACAAACAAACTCAAAAACAAACAACAACAGTGGGAAGAAATTCAGATGATTGCGGTCTAACATTTAAAGTCCTTTGCTACTCTGCGGAGGCAGCAATGGAAGTTGTGCGTGTTAAGCATGACAGAAGAGAGTGAGAAGAAAACTTGTTGGTTTTTCTTTCTGAGAAGTGTGGTACTGTCATCAGTGCTTGGCGCCGCCTCGCTTTAGGTGCAGAACCCGACTGGCTGAACTCTTGAAGCATCTTCTATCCCCGTAAAGTGCCGTGTGATAGGTAGTGAAAATCTTGCCATCACTTAAGTTTTTTTGTTTTGTGTTGTTTTTTTGGGACTTTCTGCATTTGGGATTCTATTTCATGGAATCACTCAACCGTCACACACTGGACTCTCCATATTTACCGATCATAAAAAAAAAACTGTCCCATTGTTGGAAACTGCTCTCTCATCTTCTAAAAGTCTTTTTTAACCTCCACAAATAACAGTGAAGCTCCTCTGAAAATTAACTGTGTTGGAAGCAAGAGCTGATTACGTTATTTGCATTACATATATATATTTTTTGGGGGGGGCTAATTTCAGAACAGCTGCACGTCAGTGAGGGCTTCCCTGAGGTGGTGTGGTCTTATCTCTACTATGGATGTAGATTTCATACAGAGAGCGGTGACAGGAGATGCGACGGGCTGGAGCTAGTAGTCGAGGCAGAAGTTGGCGAGATGCTGACCGGTGGCTTCCCAGGCTTCTCTTCAAAAGACTAGGTGGAGGCTCGTTGTGGGGAAGCTCTAGTTGTTGGGGATGCTCTGCAGATACGTGAGGATGTGCTGGATCTTCACCAGGCGGTCTTTGAGGCTGGTCATGGAGAGGACTGACAGCTGGTACCGGGGGTCGATGGGCAGAACAGCCAGCAGCCACCAGCAGCACGCCGGACCGTTTGGAGTGGCCTGGAGGGGAGAGAGGGAACCGGCAGACCGTCAAAACCCTGACCCTCTGAGCCTCAGCAGGTATTACTGCAGAGTGTCTCTAGATCTGTTCATTTCTACCCATCTTCAACTTTCCTTTGATCAGAATTTTGTTTTCAGGTCTTTCACCGCATTAGGTTGGTCAAAGCAATACCAGTGCGCGGAGAAACCGATAACGGCTGCTATCGGCTTTTTCCCTGGTGATCCTTCATGGTGTTATGGACTCTGTGCTGGTCCATCACCTGCCCTCTGAAGCAGGGGTGAAATCCAGTCATCCACCAGCTACCCATACAAAACACTAAAACTACTGATTTTTTTAAAGCACTCTAAGCACTGAATTGAATGAAAGAGCCTGGCCTCTTGTTTAAGGCCTGGCTTTTCTGTTTGTGTGGTACTGCCTTTACATAACTGCTTAGCCGATGCTTGTAGTCGCAGGCCCCGGCGAACGAGCAAACAGATACTTGATGGTTTGCGGTAATCTGCCGGAGGAATGCGAGCTCCACAGATGAGAACAATCCCTTTTTTCTTTTAGAGCCTGAGCCAGTTACAAAATGTGCTTAGGAAGGATTGTTAGGAAGGAGGTTTTGCTCCGTCTCTGCTGCTTCAGGAAGAGTTATGAACCAAAGGGTTCCTGTACTGCCCTGTAGGAAATACGCCAAGAGATTATGTAACAGCCCTGAAACTCGATGCTCCCACTTTGTTGTTTTATTGTTTTTTTTTTGTGCCTCTGCACATGTGGAGTTGGGAATTCTTTGCGTGAAACTGCTGTGATGCAACAGGACCACAGAGATTAGCCACTAAGCACCTTTTAAGCTCTTTAGCCTACATTGTCCACGCTCTCCATGGAGGGGGTCGTCACAACGGGGATGTAATCTCTTAGAGACTGAATCGCTGCCGAGCAGATCCGGCAACCACATTCTGATGGTAAGACCTCTGAGGCCGATGGATCTGTGTCAATATGGCTCCCCCTAAAGTTTGTTCAATGGGAGACAACTCCACCTAGAACTTTGCCCAAGCGCTTTGGAGCGCTCATTTGGACAAAGCGATAAACACACCACACCACTAATGATACTCGTTACCTCACGTGTAGTGAGGCCTCACTAATGGGGCCAATGAACCGGTCATTTCAGCTACGCCCCTATGTTAGTTAAATGCTATTTATGTCTAATCAGGCAACATATTCAAGAGTTATGATTTTAGATTGAGCTCTACATAGTTAATCATTTCTGTGGCGTTTTGAAAAGACAGTTTTAGGTGGACTTTTGTGGACATGATTGGAACATCATTCATTTTTATTTTCTCTGGGCAGAAAACTTTCCGGGTGAGTGAGCCAAGCGGCTGCGTCCGTACCTGAATGTCAGGCTCTCGCTCTGGCATTGGTCCGAAGTGCTGCAGGATCTGGTTGTGGAAGCGAATCTTGAGGTTCTGGAACCACACTTGGGCCTGTTCGTACACGGCGTCGTGCAGCTCCTGTAGCTTTTCGAGTTCCTCTCCGTTCTCCACCTGGCAGGCAGGAATAGTTCAGCTAAATGACTGGAGAGCAGCATTCCTGCACGATTTCTAATGCAGACCCGTTCGGCGGCTTTCACAGAAAACATACTGTAACATTCAACAACACGCGCTCAGTTCCTCTTACCCTGCTGTCTTCCAAGTGCTCGATGTCCGCAGTGCTGTAACCATCTTTCATTCCTCTAGCCAAGACCCGGAAGCGCTTCCCACCGATGGTGTCCACGACGGAGCGTCCGTCGGGGAGGAAGTGGACACTTCTGATTATTAGCATGCAGCCATAATCCGCAAAGCTGCATGAAAAGACAACAGTTCATTATAAAAAAGTGGAAAGGCAGCTGCTTTATTGGCAGAGAGGAAGAAAAGACGTGCGCTTGAGTGCTCACCCTTTCTGAGGATCGCTGATACACATCCCGAATTGCCGCGTGCCTATGTCCATACAGCGGCGAATCATGAGGCGGTAGCGTGGCTCGAAGACATGCAGGGGACAAGGCACAGTCGGGTAAGCCATGGTACACACAAAAATAGGCACATTCTTTGTCAGGCTGTGGAGAGATGAGGAAAGAGAGATACTTTAGACCATAGAAGGTGCTGTGAATCTTCCATGAACAACATTTGATGAAAATGCAGATATGGGGAAATGGAAAGGATTTCTTTACTCAGAAAGCTCTCTGGTCTCCTCCAGGTGAATTTTTGTTCTGTCTGCGTGTTCCTGACTCAAGTACTGCTTGATTAACATGTCCAGGATGGTGGTCACCATGTACTTCCTGCATGCTAAATACTGAAGAGAACAGGAGAAGAGTTACAGCTGAGCACTGCTGCATGGCGGGGGGGACTGACGGCTTGATTGGACAGATGTCGCCTTCTCACCTCTTTCAAACTCTCTTTACAGAGCGGGCACTGGGGAGTGTGGTCCAAGCAGCGCTCCAAGCAGTTTTTGCAGAAGGTGTGGCCACATGGTGTGCTCACCGGCTCGTAAAACAACCTGCGTGGAGAGGAGGTGCAGTTGTCAGCTGGGTGCTCAGTGAGGTGCAAAGGTTCCGGTCCGGCGCGTACCCACCTCATGCAGAGGGAACACTCCAAATCGTTGGGGTCCAACTTCCCCTCTGGAACACTTTTGCAGGTTTTTGCTTTGGCAGGCTGTTTTGAGATTTTTGCCACACCTTAAAAGTATTCAGAGAACAGAACACCTTTAATCACCGTGGTGACAGCGCCCCCTACGCTCTTCCCGCAGTACCATGCTGTGAAAGCATGAGCCCAAGTAAACGGCTTAGGCTTGCCAACCAACCTTGCTTTTTATGTTTGCTACTTCCGCTGTCCACGATGTAAGATTCTATGTCGGACACCGACAGCTTCCTCTTCAGCAGGCTCCCCTTGTCCTGGTCGCCCAGCTGGGGGGCGGAGCAGACTCTCTTAAGCCCCTCCTCGCCGCTGGTCAAGCCGTGCATCCGCAGCGACTGCGCTCTGCTCAGGCCGGGACGCTCTAGACTTTCCCAGCGTTTCTGGAGGATGACAGGTCAGATTAGAATTGAGTTTAATAAAAAAACAAAAAACAAAAACAAAACCACGATAAATCAATCGATAAACTATGCGACGGGAGTGGGCCGTTACCTCCTGGTTGTCCACGCTGTGAGCGGAGGCGGCCCGGGCCTGGTGCTGGTGTTGTCTCTGGACAGGGCTCTTGGCTGGAGAACGGGAATCTTCTGCCAGGGCCTTGCTGCGCAAGTGGGGCAGCGTGTTCTGCGTCGTTTCCCTCAGGCCAACCTTAACGTTCTCATCAGCAGGGGACAGCAGGTCACACATGATCTGTAAAAAAAGCATCAGCTCGTCACTGGAACTGAACTCTATCAAGTTTCAGCAGGATTTAGAGTCCCCAAAGGGATATCAGAGACAAAACCGATAAACTAAGACACCCGCTTTCCACAAGGGTCTTTTCTTTTATGTGCTTTCCAACATCTCCTATATATCAAAGAAATGTGGTTACTTTTTGTCACATTTTGTCTGTGGCAACGAGGAGGGGTACAACAGATAATTCCTGTCTGGAACAATAACCCCTTTCATCCGGACCAGGAGACAAGAAAGGGTTTCTAATTTTAACTGGCCTGGATTTGTCAATTACAGGAGAGAGGGGAAAGAGCTTGATCCTCATGGAGTCCCACAGCCAAAAACACAATTTTTCAAAAAGCATGTGTTGCACAAGTTGTCATTTCTATTTTCATTTTCCATGTTTTTACAACTCCTTCAATAAATTCATAACTAAATGCTCAGGATCATTTAGATATCATATTTACCTAAGAGGTCAAAACAAGATACCCTAATTTCAGTATTGAGGAACCCAAGCTAAAATAATAGCTTGACAACTCCTTTTGCAACTTTTACTGACCTCTAATTTGACCTGGATCCTTTATGATCAGTGGGGCTCTTTTTTTTTTTTTTTTAAACATTTATTAAATTCAGAAAGGATTACCTTAACTTTGTGTTAGCAACACAAATTGGTAATTAAAGAGGTTCCAGGAGAGGGCACCTTCTGCCCTATACTTAAGGTTTAAAAATAAATCATTCCAATCTGACGGGCTGTTTTTCCTATCCCCTGCTTCACCTCTCCACCAGCTCTACTGAAATGAAGCCAGGTGGGTAAAGTCGACATGTGCTGCTGGACAAACAGCTCTCACTCAGCGTCCCTGCCAAGAATAAATGTTGTTTTGTCTGAAAATGCATGACTCAAATGTGTGTCACTTACATAACTACAATACTGTCTGTGTTCTATCTATTAGGTGGTACTAATGCCATTATAGGCAGAGTCACAAGATCTGACCTATTACAGAGTTATGTAATGACATGCCAGACCACCAATAAGATGTAGAAACATACTCGGGGAATTCAAAGTACCAGTATAAAGTTTGATGTTTTTGTGCTGTCTTTTAAGATTTAGACAGAGATTTTCAGCAGAACTAATCAGAACCATCAACAATTTCAGTGTGTTTCTATTCATCAAAACACAGCCATGACTAAAATATAAAATAAAAGCTAAATTTGTAGGATTTGTAAGTCGTCTTCTCTTCACAAATGTTAAATCCATACAAGTCCTCAGGGAGGCAGGGGGCGTGTCAGCTCATAGTGAGAAAAAGACGGCATGTGGTGTTTCACCCTGAACAACTCAGGTGTCGTATGGGGGTCTCCTGAGAGCTGGAGGTTAAATCGTCTGTGACACTAGAGGACAACATGGATGTAAATCTTTCTAAAACACAACAGGTCCATTCAGCAGGCTGCTTATCAGAAGCTACATTTTTTCGTGCTTTCAGTTACATAGTTTTCTGCCTCATTGTTAAATGGAATCTCCAAACTGACCGCTGAGTCAATGTCGAAAAACAACGGATGAAGGCTATTAAAACACTGGGCTTTTATGCTGCCCACTTTCTATTAAAAGACAACTGGGACACTCATGTAACTGGACTCATTGAAGCTGTGACATCGCGCTAAGAATTCCGCGACAGCTCGCAGTGTGCAGGCACAAACACTATGTGACCTTTGCTGTTTATTTTCAACATGACAACAGGGTCAAATACCACCTTTTCAACACAACCTCTCGAAAAACTTCTCTAACCTTTTCCACTTGTCTTTTAGCACCGAGAAAGTCCTCATCAACAGTCAGGCAGTGGAGGAAGAGTTGGAGAGACTCATCCACTCGGCCCATTTCATGGAGTACCATGGCCTTCCAGAACAGAGCCTAGAGGTGTAGGGAGGACAAAAGAAATGTTACTTCTGTACAGACACTTAGGGCTCAATTGGGTATTTGCATGCACACTATGAACACAGATTCAATGATTCTTTTGGTGTGCTGGTATGTAGCACTTTTCACCTTTCCTAAGAATAAATAAATGAATACAACACCCTGAAAGAAGAGTTTTCCTGAAGAGTCAACACATTCATGTTGTCCACTGTTGTGATGCAATAGACATGAATGGTTTTGACCTTAATCTCTGTATTCTCCGCTCTGCTTTGGGAAACCTTCATGAGCCGTGAGACTCTTCTGTAACTTATTTACCCCAATAGGTACAGTGCTAAAAATACATTATGTAAATGAACTAACAGGCTCACAATTATCCCCAGACCCATCCTCAATAACTGTAATCCAATTACTCAGTTCACCATGCTGCCTCCAAAATGGCTATCTGACTGACAAATATCAGAGGGAGCACATGGTGGACTTTAAAAATAACCGAATGTATCGCACGTGTTTTGTATTTTAATGGAAAAAAATTTAGGAAAAGTTTTTTAAAAAGCGACTGGATGAAGGACGCACCTCAGCAGAACAACTGGACTTGGAACATAATTCTGCATCCTCGAAAGCCAGTCGATACTGTTTGAGAGCCATGTGCGCTTCAGCCCGAGACAGACGAGCGGCCATCATGTGTGGATCTGCAGGGAAAAGAAAAACACCGTCCTTCATTTAAAAGTTTGAATAGCACAGCAGTCCCAGAAGTGTTGGCAGATTTAATAAATTACATTAAAAAAAAATAAAGCAGGCAGGCGATACATTTTTTTTTTTTTTTTTATCAGACAGTTTGTTTTTGTGTCCAGCAACTCATTTATTACATAATCACGTCACACCCCCAAATTCTACAGTGACTGCGTCGATGAACAGAGTAATAAATATGTTGCATAAGCCTTGGAAGAGTAGCAAGTCAGAGGACTCTCTCCGTTCTGGTCATAATTAATAAAGTTGGTGAAGAGTGGGAGGAGCCTCAAAAAACCTACTAAAACCAAAAGCTGACTCAGTAAAAACTGTAAAGAAAAATACATTTCAAAACACTGGGCTTTTCTTTCTGCGAGCACCAGCTTTGTTAAACCATCAAGTTAATGGCAGTAAAAGCTGAACTGAATTAATTCAAAATGACCTGTACTGCGGACTGAATTCAGCTGCTATATTAAGCTGACCTGCATTCCATCTTAATTTATTTCTCAGCATACACAAGCCCTGCAGTGTGACTGGTCATCATGAGGTCAACACAGCTCTCAAGAAGTGTTACATTCTGTCCCAACACTGGTCTTTGGCAGTATTGTGGGTTACAAAGGGTTATGAGAGGATCACCTCAAGTGAGGGATCGTTAAAAAAGAAAGAAAAAATGTGATAAGTTTATAAAAAATGGAACCCTTTTTAATTTTTTTTTTTTCAAAACACAAAATTCAAAACCTTTTTCCATTTGGACTGTGTTGTGAAAGATTCAAACTTACTGTTATTTCTAAATCCCCCAAAAAATCCCTTTGAACATAACCACTTAATTAACCCTCTCCAAGGTCACGAAGTTCTTAGACCATATCAGAATATGTAAAGTTCTGCCCGTCATATTCATCCCGCCCGTGGCATTTAGGTAACAGAGGTCACCAAGGACGCATGGTGCAGTTTGATATCTACCGACTTTACAATTCCAAGTGATATTCCAGACCTTACATAAGGCTGTCATGCTATTGTAAGTGCAGACTCATTAAAAAGGAGAGAATAAAAGCAGGAAATTAGTGTTCCTTCCTGCATAATAAGAGGTTAGCTAAAGGTGAATATGATGAAAAAAGGAAAAAAATATTATTTTTGCTGCAGGGTTTTTACCTACAGTGCACCACCTATTTACAGTTTGATGGCACATCATGATATTACTGTCGAACAATGACTGGCTGTTGTTAGCAGTTTCCACATCTTTTGGAAGTATCTGTCCGCCCTCACCATTTTGTGGGGGGAGGGAAAGAAAAGAGGTCAATCCCTGATGTTATCAACAGTTACTGTAAACCCTGCAACAATCCCAGCCAGGGGAATGTTAACTACAAAACAATGTCCAACTGTTGACCTAGTTTCTTCTCTTTCATTACAAAACACCACAAAAGCTAGCCAGCTGCCTTGTTCAGAGTCTGCGTGGACCACCGGCCTAACCCTGGCCTCTTACATGACCCACAAATGGGGTATGGTCGTCCCCCTCGCCTGTAAAACATTTATGAAACCGTGCTTCGTAACAGCCCGGAGAATTACAAAATAAAGATGTCCTCCCCCCATTTGATAAGTTACAAAACCTGCCCCAGTATGTGTCACGACCTGCCTTATGCAACTTTTTCCCCGAGCGCGCATGCGCACTCTGTTCCATTTCGTAAGCAAGGCCCACCAGTGGCTCTGGGCTGCGAGGAAGAGGGTGGTACCCGCAAACACATGGAGGCACAGTGGCTGTTTTCAGAATATCGGTCACTGGAAGTAACGGAACTTTTGCCCTGTGGGCCAACATATAATGTAAAGACTGTTATAACACCAACACTCACACAACCGTGTGTCCCACCAAACGCGACGCATTAGCATTATTACCCGTGACACTTAATTGTGCCCGAGAAACACCTGCGAACGATGCGATAGTAACACTCACCTGACCGGATGACGTCGGTCGCCAGTGACACGGCCTCTTTGTAGCGTTTTCTTTTGCACATCGCGTCCACTTCACCCAACGTTTTCGACTTTTTAACGTCGTCGGGAAACCATTTTTCTAGAAGTCCGCCAAGAGTTACATTCACTTTTTCCTTGCCGCCGACCGGCTCGCTGCACAGTTTGCATTTCGAGAGCAGCCGCCGATGTAAACACCTTCTACAATACGTATGTCCACAGGCTATGGTCACTGGTTCGCCTAGGAAGCTGTGACAGCCGGGGCAGTCGAACACCGCGCTACCGGAGCCCCCGGCTGCGTCTCGGCCCGGGCCTTTGGAAGCATCCGGCCCCGGCGCTTTCCTCTTGAAGTTGCGGAGGATACAGTCCACGAAAGTGCTTAGTTGTTCCGGTCGCACGGGGCCATAGCGCATAGCCGCTGAAAACCAGTCAATGGCCTCCTTGAGGCAGTCTTCAGATGCTAACGCGTTGGCTTTCTGAAGTATAAGTTCATGGTGGTCTTCCTCTTCGGGGAGGCTGTCGGCGCCGATGAAAAAGACGCTTCGCTCCTCCTGAGCCTCCTCCGCTTGCGGTTGTAGTGACATTATAGCACCGAGATGCCGGCCAAACGCTATGTGGATTTAGGTTTTCTTCTGCCGACGTGCTTCCACATTTCGATAGCTGCCTCGGTCCTTACCAATGGAGCGACAGGCTTTCCCACAAGATACCCGTTTGTTACATAAAGAAAAGCACGGTCACGTGAACAGCGGGCTCGTGCCGTGATTGGCCAGGGCCCCTGTGTTACAAAACCTGCGCTGGAATGTTTCATAACTACGGAAGAGACGCAGTGAAGTTGACCAACTGCGCCAGTTTTCAACGTCCTCCCCTGACCCACTCTGCCTGTCGCATACCTCCAGAGGTCTTCACCTAACATTTTTTAACGTAACGTCTCCTGTAAAATATGTAATGATACTTTCACAGACGATTAACTACTGTAATGTCATCTAGAGATAATTTCATTCTGAATTTGTCCCACCATCATACTATTTTTTAACAAGTTTTACTAGTCAAAGTGAGGGCATCATTTGAAAGGGGATAATTTGAAACTCAGTTTTACTTCATCTATGTGTTACATGACTGTACACCATGTAAAATAGCAATGCACTAGTTCATATTATGCAAGTTTGTCTCATATCTTTTTTTCACCTCCAGTCTCTAATCTAGGCTAGGATAAAAAAGATTTAAAAAGCAAGCATGGAATTCTGGGTAATTATAATTATGCAAAGCAAAATCCACACATGGGGGAACCCTCTGAAAAACATACAATCTACAACTTAACTATTATCTGTTTAAAATGACACAACAGGTTTTGTGGTCCTAAATGTGAATGCTTCTTTTTGGTAAAGGTAACACATTAACTGGAAAACTTTTTGTTACCTAAACTGAGCCCCTTAACAGTACTACTTGTATCTTTAAAGCCCCATAATTAAAAAAAACCAACTATATAACTAATACTTCCAATACTCGCAGTTTATATAAAAAAATCTTTACAGTTTAAGGTCAAATATATTCACCTTGGACTGGTCTTTTTAGCATTTAGTTTCCACCATAATTGTCCAACTGTAAAGACACAGCGTTGCTTCATACATAAACATTACTGTCACCTTCTATATTGTCATCTCCTAAAATAAAAAAAAGGAAAGGAAAATCAAGGAAAATCAAAATCTTAAAACCATACTAAGTGCTCACAACAGCAGATTGTCTAAATGGTGAATTTAGAAACTTGTTTTGATTAAGTTTAGAACATTACATTTCTTTTTTTGTATATAATTCCCCTCAGTTTTAAAACATTTCCTTACAATATTACCAAACAATTATTATTTTACCAATATTTTTTATATTTTAGATTACTGCATGCATTTTAAGCATGACAGTTGGATGAGAAGTCACAGATACTACTAAACTGTCCTCTTGCCTCTTAGTCACTCATACGAAATCTAACAACTCTGACCTTAAGCAGATTCTATGTTCCATTCTGCTTTTTATGAGCTCACAAAATACAGATTGTTAGAAGCTGCGTCCAAGTCGTCAAAAATGTCCTTGATCGCCATATTAACTCCAACTTGGTAATGTGGGGAAAAGTGTGCGTATTGTAGAGCAAAAAAGTTGAGCATATGAAGACTTAGAAGCACGGTGTGGACTTGTGTGTGAATGAGCTAATGTGATTTGTAATGTAAAGCCCTTTGGGTGGTTAGCAAGACCAGAGAAAACATTATATAAATCCAGTCCATTTACTACTGAGCACCAACAGAAACATTATTGTTGTCTTTCTCCTTCTTGTAAATTCAATGATTTGGGAATGCCTGGAGGGAATTTTTTAAACTATGGCCCAAATATCCAACTCGGCTCAAAGATTAACTCATTAGATTTCGACCCCGAGGCACAAAAACACAAGCACAAACAACAAAATTACAGAGAAAGCCCACGGCTTCTTTAGAATCTCTGAGTCTGTGAAGCGCCTTTACTTTCTGGGTTTTGTTTTTGGCGTTCAGATAAATGCAAAAGAAATCTTTGAATTGCTGTTTTATCTTACTTTTTGTACTTTTTTAAATGTTGTGGATAATTTTCTACCGATGGAGTCAAACGTCTGCTTGAATATGTTGTGTGACTTTTTGGTCAAAGCTATCACTTATGGTTGTGTACAATTTTACAGTTTTACCCTCTACAAAATGCGTAATCTCAGCATTTTAGACTTTATAACTTGCTTGTGGCAGCATATCCACTTTCTAAACGTTATATTTTGACACTGGGAGTCTATATTTTCATCACATTTATATATATTTGAGAAATCTGTTTATACTGTTCACACAGTTCATGTGCTTGTACCAATAGACCGGAAAACGATTTTTCAATTCGGTCACTTTTTAAATCATTTGAATTTTTTTTATTTCAAAAGCACCTCCTCCGTTCATGTGTTTGAGTTGAACTCTGTGACGGAGTACAAAGCCGGTCCTCTGGGGCAGTGGGAGGGGGACAGGCATTAAAGTGTTGGTGATGGCTGGGTGAATACTGCCATCTACTGATCAAAGTAAACCAGTATAATGGGAGCGATGAGTCTTGGGCAATTTTTTTTGGTTAAGAACAGGATCACTGTTGATATTTTGTTGTTTGTCAGAGAAGAAGAGCACAGCGTTTGGAGGATTTGCTGTTTGAGTTATCCTGTTGTGTGTTGATTAAAACAATTATTTAAACCCTATTTTGCTGGAATTTATTACCCAGGCCCAGCCTCAAAATTTCCACACACACACCATTTTGCTGTTAAGCAATTTTTAAACTTGTTCTCTCTATAAATCCAGTTTTAACTGTGTTTGCATGATGTTTTGTTCACAGTCTCAAGGTTGTCCTAAAAGAATTATATAAAAAAAAGTTGGGAGATTTCTTCTAACCCTAACCCTAACCCAAAACACCACCTTCTAATACCAACATCTCAGTATGCGAGACACACAAATTCACTTCCACATGATCTCTGTCCCAGTCCTCTTTGGTCAGAGTGCTTTTGGCAGCATGCGGAGGAGCAACTGGACTGCAGACAGGTGGTGATAATGTTATGGCTGATCCGTGGTTATGTACTCCGGTCATAGGACCCTTTGATCGCACACAGGTGGACTTAACTGAGGTTATTACGTGACTCCTTTAGGTAATTGGAAGCACCAGAGTTTGAATTTAGGGTTGAGATCGCCTTTTCGCACGCCATCATTTTAAAAACATGTTTTTAGTTAGAAAAAAATGAATAAAACCAAAAAGATATCTAAACATGATTCAAGAAGTAATGCTTTAAAACAGAAACAAATGTGAAAAGGAATGAGGGGAGTTATAGGGAACTATTAATACAAACATGTGGATTTGGAGAACTATTCACGCTTGAAAAACCCAACTCATTTTTCCTTCTAAATGTTATGTTGAATGTAAAAATCATATAACATGCAGAGACTCGATTGATTGATAATGTAACTTTTAAGTGATTTATTTCTGTGCACTTTAGTGGAATGGATAATGAGACCAAAATAAATACTTTTGCACACCACCCACAGAGGGCAGGGTTGGACCTCCAATAACCAGTGACCCTCAGTCCTATCAGCAACAGCTGGCCAGTGTGTGGCCTGAGCTCCTCTCCATCAGCAGCACCATCATCAAGTGCGCCATGTCTGCAGCACCTGAGTGCTTTAAAGGGTCAACACAGCTTTTTTCCCTTTCTTTTCTTTTTTCGAAGGAAGACAGAAGTGGAAATCACACTAGTCAGACACACTCAAGTGCTTTAGTGCACTGCCCCGCGTGAATAATTTAACACAGAGCCTCTGTGGTACTTTCCATCTATGACCCCCCCCCGTCCCGTCGTCCACTCACGTGAGTGCTCAGGTGTCCTTTGGCTGAAATGTCGAGCCTTGCTGAGGAATGATACCGGCTCAGTTGTGGAAGCGACGGATCCTTTTCCGTGTTGACTCTCGAAATAGAGTCTCATCGCAGTGACATGCCATTTCTGTTTCCACAACATTACTACCAGAGCTGTCCAAATATGTCCGTCCAAATATTTTTGGCCTGAACAGAGGAGCGTTATGTAACCCGCCGCTTTACAACCTACTGAAGTGAATGAAAGGGTCTGTAAAAAGGTTAGTTTGTGTAGGGATGGGTGGTGTAAGTGTGATGCTCTGTGAGGTTCATACGGCTGAGGTGTTTGAAACGGAAACAAACACTTGGAGAACATTTTTTTCTTCGTCAGAGAACATGTAGGGTTTGTTAGGACGGCAGGATTTTTCGGGGTGAACGCGGGACGAACTGGAGGAGGAGCGGACGCGTTGGAGAAAGCACACGTTCATATTAGTTTATCAATGTGGGAAAGCCTCTGCGCTGGATTCTCAACCAGCGGAGCAGGAATGCTGACTCGTGGTTATCTGCCCCTGCTTAATCTCTCTGAGGTGTTAGTGGAAAGAAGAGAGAAAAAAACAAAACAACACACACAAGCACTCGGAAAAACACACCAATGTGCGGAATACGGAAGCACACACACGGATGCAGAAAACAAAAGAAAACAACATTATCTATAGTTGTTTATGTTATTTAAACGTGGAGTAAAGACAAATTAAGTCAAAAGAAGGAGGGTGTGTGGTTCGGCTTACTTTGCCCTGTGTGATCCATAAGGTGCTCCGGCTCTTAGTTGTACGCTACTCTTTATCAAGTGTTTCTTGGAGCCAGCTCAGCATCATAAAGTGCAGTATCAGGTTAAAACTCCTTCCTGCTGTCAGGAGAATGCCCGCTCTCGTACTATGGAAACACTCAGTCCAGCTTTATGGTCTGTGATCATCCCAGTGTTTGCATAAAACCAAAAGCATGAACGAAACAAGCATCCCAGATAGACCCTTTCCATATACAAATGCCACATCTCTACTTTATCAGGCGATTATACATTTTAAAAGGTACATTAGCATCCATAACCTTTACTCCATTTAGACTGAGACTAAAATCTCTAATCTAATCGCAGATTTATTGTTGTGGAATGGAGTCAGAACAGATATATACTGATAAGGGGTTTGATGGAGGGAAATCCAGAGAATTTAATGAATTTGAGTGGGCGTATTTGTTGGGGAAAAAAACCCCTGAAAGTTCCACAAATTCTTAGATTAGACAAGTTACTCGTCTAATTTGCTGTGATATGCTCCCCATTCGTAGTCCTTACATAAACACAGACACCCCGGCAGTTCTCATTTTTTTAATACATTTAATAGTGCACTTTTGATTAACCTGTACAGAAATAATATTAATAAAAAAGATAAAACATTTTTTTAAATTTCTGTAACGAAGCTAACATGTACAATGAAATAAAATAAAGATACAATGATACAAAACAAACATATATCTGAGGTATAAATACTTTTTGCTTTAAATTAGCTGTCATTGTCATGCGTTATTATTTGGGAGAGACATTGTTACAGGTACGAACATTTATATTAACAATGGCTTAGTGATCTAAGTATACACTCAACATGAACGATGCTCACCGTCAGACTGAAGCGCAAGTGTTATGAGCAGAGGTCAGCCGGTTACGTAGACCTTTTTTAATTTTGATGGGGGAGGACGGACACTGGCAAGACGGTAGAGACAGAAGCTTACACGATATTCATCCTTCCTTTAAAACCACACATTCAATCTGCCCTCTTCTTTACAGTAAAACCTGTAAAATCCCCACCTTTATAAAAGGACCTTTTTTTCTCTTTTTTTAGAAACAAATTTACATTTTTGTTTGAGGTTTCCCATAGAACAGTGCACTGTGTTTTCTGTTCTTGTGACCTACACAGCAAATAGAAAGTTAATATGGTTTAATATATTCTTTTTACGTATACAAGTGATGTCTGGCCAACGGTTTCAAAAAGTGTGAAATGTGTTGTGCTCTAAAAGGAAGAATTGAAGGTAACTGCTCGTGGCTCTGACAAGGAAGCTTAATACTGAAAGCTCTAAGCTTTAAAAGAAAAAAAAAAGTATTTGGTCCATCAAATTGCTTGATTGTTAATTAAATCTGTCCACATCATGGCTCCGAAAGGCCTCGCTCTGTTTCAAGTCAATGAAACGCTTGTTTTTTTTGGCACCATTTCACTTTACTAGTGTGAAAACTAATCCTACCTATGTATATTCACGTAAAAAAACACACACATCCATATCAGGCTCGTGACTCACTGATACTCGCTGAGTTCAATTCCACTTGAAGCATTGAGGTGTCTTTTTATCTAATGGAGGCCCTTTTGATCAGTGTGTTCCTTTTGGTGAGCCAGCCACCAGCACTCATCTGTCTCTACCCTGGTACACTACAGCCTTGCCTACCATCAGTCACTTGTCATGCGACAATATCCTGTATATTGTCTCCACTCAATCTGGGTATTAGCAACATATTTACATCTTTCCACACCCATAGATTCATCCATCGGCTCCACACAATAACGTCTACTCTTCATCCTGTGCTTTTGCTGTAACAGAAAAAGGGGACGGAGGTAACACAAAGGCAGACGGTGTGTGTTACTGGGCCATGCGAAAACTGTATGTACACGTCATCCACCGCCTGGAAAACCAACAGGACCGATTAACCGCTCGTTTCTGTGCACGCATGCTCACACATACCATTAAACTCCCTTGCTTCTCAGAAGCAGTAACGCCTTGTAGATTAAGTCTAAACCGTTCAGCCTTTTTTCTCAGCAACATAATGTCCTCAGAGGTCCAGAAAAATCTAATTTGGAGTCCTCTCAGCAGTCCTGGCGGAGGCGTTTTTTTTTTTTTTTAATGCGGCACCAGTCTGTTGATGCAGAACAAACAAGTCCGTCAATTCAAGCTCCAGAGCCAGTCCTTTATCACGGGCTTCAACAACTTTCCACTCCGTCTGCGCTCTGTCGAAAAGAATAGTTTCACTCCGAGAAACTGCCGAGGGTCAAACTTTCTGCTGCCGCCGCCTTATTTGTCTATGGGCGCCGTGAACGAGTCTCTTATCCGCGCCACCTCGGCGGCGCACAAATGTCCGTAAAGTTTGTTGTACCACTCTGGGAAGCGACCCCTGAAAAAGAAAAGAGAGGTGTGGCGTTAGCTCACCGGATCTGGCCGCAAGTGTATCGATTAGCGGTAGCACAACGTGATCACTGTGCGTTGGAAGTTGCTGCAAAGTTGCTGCTCAATTTGTATGAGGTCCTGTCCGATGCCCCTACCTGCAGTCGATCCTGGAGATATGTGTGAGTCTGGATTTGTTGGCTCCGCAGGGCTCAATGAAGTAGCGCGAAATGAGGACGTTAGCACGGACTCCCATCGCCGGGACCCCCTCGTGGTCCACAGACGTGCACACGAGCGCACACGCTCCCTTCGGCAGGTCTGTGACCCAGGTTCTGGCGGAGAGCGGAAGCAGAGCTGGGGTTAGAATACACACCCTGGGGAAGAGGAGGAGGACGATGCGGGCCGAAAACAGCGGGCGGGCTTACCGGAGCACCAGATGGTCCCTGGTGGGATGCGGGCTCATGGTGTTCCTGACGTACAGGTACACCTCGGTCCTGTCGTCCAGCACCTCCACCACGCGGCTCTCCAGCAGGTCCTCGTCCCAGTGGCCCTGCTCCCGCAGCAGCCGCGTCAGAACCTCCTCGGGAGCGGCGGGAATCTCCACCGTCACCTTCCACAGCCGCAGCGGAAACCCGTCGTGCACCTGGAAGATCGGAGAGAACGGCCCCCTGCTTGAAACGCCTTCTTTTTTTTGACAATCATCATCATTTCAGTGCTTTCCGGCTTTTATTTATTGCTTGAGAGATGAAAGAGGAAGCGTGGTGTAAACTATGGTTTGGGAGATTTTTGTGGAATATCTAAATTGCCTGTAAAATGATATTCGCGATATCGTGAAAATATCTGGTAGCCCTGTCAGAATTTCATGACAGCTCGGCTGTGTTTTAAAAAATGCCCTGCCACCCAGGTCAGCTGCTTCATTCAGCCTTCACACACTCTGCCGTGTGACTTTCGGACTGGAGGGGGAAAACTATCCAGGCCCTTCGTGCGCAGGACACAGGAAGCGTAGGCCTGGGATAATGATGAGGTTGTGTTTGTCCGTGTGCGTGTGTGCTCCAGGCTCCATGTCAAGCTGATGTCATTTTGGGACGGAGCCCAGAGGAGATGGGAATGAGAAGCCAAGAGCCGGGCAGCTTTCACACGGATGGATTTCTGAACAGGAAACCCTAACTGCTGCTTTCCACTCACTATTTAGAGAATAGCGGCCGAGAGGCAAGGCGGTCATCCAGAGTGAAGGGGAAGATGGGAAACAGAGCCAGTGTGTGCGCCTCATGAATGGGGGCTTGTATCCTTACATAAGGCAGATGGACTGATGGGCTTCCCCCCCACCTCTCCAAGTAATGAATTTTTCCTTTATCTCACAACTCTAACTCGTTTAAAAGCCAGCCGTCCGGTCTTACCTTCCTGTAGGCCAGGTCAGCGTGCTCGGGCGTGGAGCAGCTGTCATAACCTCTGAACTTGTCTTTGGCCTCTTTGAGGAGAGTATCTAAGCTGTCCTGGAGGTAGGCCCTGTAGCCTGCTTGTCCGGCCTCTTCCCCGGCCAGCTCCTCCAGGCGCTGTGGCAGCAGGGCCTGCTCCACGTACGAGTTCCTGCAGCGATTCATCTCCTCGGGGATCTGTGAGGAGGGAGGAAGAGCATCGTTAGAAGAAAACCGTCTGTGGATCGTTAATCGACATTTTCCGTCAGATGCAAGAGAGAATGTCGACTGCAACGGGGAAATTAAAGCCTATTAGATAAAAACTTGTTTGTATCATCTCCGCCGGGCTCTTCTTTGAAATTTTAGAGCTCTTAACAAGAGATTTTGACCTAGTTTCTAAGCATCCCGCTGCGCTTTGGATAAGAGTCCATATCCATTTTACGCTAATAAATCTTTATTTAGCTGCAACCTGAAAATAAAACAAATCACTTTGCCATCTCTGTTTTTGTAACTCTTTTTTATTGTCTCTCTCCCTAATTTGTACACTCCATCTTTCAGCCAAACCCTGACAGTGTTATGGCCTAAGATTCTCATTAGATAAGAGAAGGCCCATTTAAATAAAGTTAATTACATTTTTGTCTTTAACTGGAGACATTTTCTTTCTTTTTTTCCCTCTCTTTTTTTTATTTTTATAAATCACCGCTAGTGAATAAAAATCTAATTAGAGTGAATCATTTAGGGGAATAATTCAGTTTACTTGTGTATTATGACCATGACAGGAAGCCAGGAAGCTCATCTGAAATCTAATAAAGCTTTGAAAGGTAGTAATGACCTACAGTGTGCAGCGTTTTAGTATTTACTGTAGCATGGCACAGAAGAGTGGACAGGGCGGGGCACATTTTAGTCATAGTCAATGTCATTGTAATAGGATTTGAAATGTAGATTATTTCCTGTTTATCAAGTCAGGAACTCTATTTGTGGATTGGCTGATCCCCACTCTGTGACATCGCTCATGCATTTATCTTTCTGCACTAAAGCCTGGGAAGGGTAGAAACGGACAGATGCAGGAAGTTTTCAATGATGGACGCGGTCCAGGCAGACATTTTCTTTATGTAATCACAGCATGAATGGGATTAACGTGTTATGTAACTGGAATTAGCGTGTTTGCAGGTCAAACGTTGGGACATGGTGCTGTGAGGTGAAGGTGACTTCTTTTCACACAAAACAGCCGAAATAATGTGTGTTGGAGCGACATTTCGAATACTGCGGACTGACCCTGAAGAGTTTCCTGCACTCCTGGATCATATGTGCCAGGCCGTGAGTGGCGGCCAGATTCTCGTTCAGGTCCCTCTGGTCGGGTTTTCCCAGCATCTGCTTCCGGTTCATCACCCTGTCATCGTGGAAGGGTTGACAGAACAAGTGGGGGTGCGAAGATTAATAACAGCGTCAAGGGAGAAAGGGAAAGGCTGTGGATGGAACAAATGGGTAAGGCGCACACCTATGATGAACCCTCCCATGGATGTGCCAATCACGGCGCAAACGGGCGTCTTAATTTGGTCAAGATGTTTATACAACCTATCTATTTCCTCTGTCTCTTTTCCTTCCTCTTCTCTCCGGCATTTTTCTTTTCCTCTCTCATTTTTGCCTTCCATCTACAGCATCCTACTCTTTTGTTTCTGCGGAGAGGGCCTTTCCTGTTTTCCCAAACACGGGGCTGGCCGTGCGTTATGTAACCGTAATATACCAGCGACAAAAAAAGCCCCGGCTCAAAAAGTGGAGCCCACGGACCTTGGGGAGGAGCTCTCCTTGCGGCGCAGGGTGTTGAGGTGGAACAGGGACGGGGCCAGGCACACGGCCAGGTTGGTGGGGGTCATCTGGTTCTCGGCCATGCTGGCCGTCACGTCGGTCAGCAGGCACAGCAGCGTCCGCAGCGCCTCGCGGTTCTCGTCCGGCAGCAGCAGCACGGCGGCGCGGGTGGCCTGCAGGCGCAGCTCTTTGGGCATGTCTGCGGGAGGACAGGTCCCAGTTAAGTCCCGCTGACCACCGTCAGTTCGTCAGCTTTTTCAGTATAAACTGATTTTGCCACCAATAAACTCATGTCGAGATAATTGTTCCTTAAGAAATTCTTTGCTGAGTAAAGGATGTTACATAATACTATGAGAGGAGAAATTATTTTAAAAAAGAAAGAAAGGAAATCACATTATTTATCTTGTATTTCCTGCACTATTATGCTACTTATTTAGACCACTTGCAGGCCTTAAAAGTGACAATCACATTTTTTCCCCCTTCCTCTGGCCTACAAGTGTGAGGCTAAATGTATATATTAGCATCCTTACACTGATATATCTGGAGGAAGGTCTCGGACAGCTTGCTTGTGAGCAGGGGCTCTGGTAAATCTCTGAAGTACTGCTTCAGCATGTCGGCCACGTCGTAGGCCGACTGGCCCTCGTAGTTGATTCCTCCTCCGTCTGCGCCACTCGCCTCGTTCATCTGACGGAGGGCTTGGATACGAGATTTGACTCCCGACTTCCTGAAAAGACCCACCTGGAGGGAAAAGTAGAGACAAGGCTTAGACCCCCACGACTGACAAACTAACACAGGTGTACAGTTTAATCTTGTCAGTAAAATTACAAATGCACCCAAATTACCACTGAACTTTTTTGTTGTTGTTAAACTAATACCCCAGACCTATCCACAAAGTCGGCGCTTACGGTTACTATGGTTACATCACAACAGAAACCACATAGCCCATTATGAGTTCTTGTGCCGAAAGCCGTGTAGAATCTCATCAGTGGCCTTTTAAAGATGCATGAACTGGCTATAAATATTTGGGAGGAAAAGCGTCAGAATGTCCAGTCCGAATATTTTCCATGAGCTTTCGCCACCTCCAAACAGAGGCGCCTTGTCTTGTTCCGAGAAGAAAGCCATCATTCTCTTTGCCATTTAGCGCTCCGTTAACAGCTATTTTCTATGTGTTGAGCCATTCTCCCCCTCATGAATGCATAAGCATTCTTTCAACCCGTTTCTAAATTAAGGAGACAAGTGACTTTACAGCCGTATACGCTGATTCTCCACAGGCCTCCTGCTAAGGGGGACGTGACAGTGAGATGAGAAAAATGGGGAAGAAGAGAAAGTGTATACACACGGAGACTAAGTGAGTGGGTACCAGGCTTTTTCCAGTTCAAGTCTACCTTATATAACCATCCAGAAAAAGAAAAGAAAATGGATGAAGGATTGGCTGACTGCAGATCTTTTAAAACTGAAATATTTTGCAATTCATTTGAAAGGATCTTAACGGGAACTAAGTTTTATGTTTAGTTAAAAATGCCAATGATTCTTTTGAGCAGTCTATACATCTTTTTTTGTCCAGGTCTGGTTAATATGTTTCTTAATGTGTATACTTATGTGGTTCGTGTTACCTGGTCAAGGCACTGATTGCGTAAATAGCGCATGGCCTGCTGGATACCCTGGGGGAGGGGTTGACCGGTCCGCTGGACGATGACTTGCAGCGGCACACCGAACACGTTCCTGTCTTTGTAGTCGCGTACTTTGATCCGCTTCATAAACTTGGGCACTGCCCTGCAACACACGCACACAGAAGAAAAGAACACTCACTGAAAACTGCATTCATTTCAACTGGTCAACACCGGACACCTGGATTTTTATTCTCGAAATTTGCAACATTTTTTTTAGCTGTTGTGCAAAAATAAAAAAAACAAAAGATATTTGTTATGCTGATATAACTGATTATTGATCGTAGCCTCAGACGTGTTTTACTTGGTAATTTCTAAGACAAAGTGAGAATGCTGGTTTTATGTGAGCTGCTGAAGAAGCCCGTCTCCTGGTTTATGACAGGGGAGGATAAACAGGAGAGGGCAGACCAGAGGGGGAGGAGGGTGTACGCCAGTGTGCTAAAAAAAGAAGAAACCAACTGGCTTTACACATCTGCACAGGGGCGGTTACAAACAGTATTTGATACTTTCTGTGAGCGTGAATTTACACCGGTGCTACAGGACAGCCCCTCTACAATGACGAGCCCAGAGCCCAATCATGCTACGCTGACCATTTGGCATGAATGCGCCAATGGATGAGCTCCTATGTGCAGGGGTGTGAGTGTGTTTAGCAGAAGGACTCTGTGCTTGACTCAGGACAAGCGAGTCTTTGTAAGAGCTGCTGTTCACAAGACCCAGATTGCTTCTCAGAACCAGTGTTAGGGAAAAAACTGGGGAAAAAAAAAACATTTTATGATTGCGGACGGAATTCCGAATATGTATGGGCCTCAATCGGTCAACAATTGGACTCTTTCAGTGAGTTCAGACCTGTCATAAGACTGTCATGACGCCTTCTGTTTCTGTATGAGAGAGGCATTGAGCAGGGAGGGGAAAAAAAACACCCAGGAAGATTCTGTAATTTTTCACATTTAATTCATTTTTCTCATTAGGCCCTTGCATAAAACCTCTGATGTAAAAACTAGTGATACTGAATCAGCTGTTTGGCAGTACAAATATTGCACAATAATGTTTAAAGTGAATCCCAATGACTTGGCGTGACTATAACAAACAACCACTTCTATACAGCATACACTCTGGTCCTATCGGATATTGGGTGCTAGTGGATAAGTAACAGCGGCTCGTAAAGTGAGGTCTGACCTACAGCTCAGGATTGGTGTATTGGACCGATCTGAGCGCTAATTTGAGAGGAGGGCCGAGCCGGCACGGCACCTTGCGTGTGAACGGCCATGATTGCGCCATTGAGACGAAGACAATGTCCACCCCTTCTCAGCAATTATGGGCCTGGGAAAAGAATGTGAAACCCAACCTCTGTGGACAGCCGTCACAGCTCTATACAACAGAATGCAGATGGAAGGGACTGGGAGATGGGGTGGTGGAAAAATTAGAGGCCATTTCACGTGAGGATAAAACTCCACAAAAAAAAAAAAAGTTTTAATAGAGTCATTACAAACTTGTCCGCTCCTCTTTCCCCTTTTCCCCTCCTCACTTACCAACTGAAGCCATGCTTGTTCGTGGGGGTGTGTTTCTCCAGGAGGGCCGTGAGCTGCAACAGGGAGAGCTTCTGCAGCAGATTCATCTGTAGGACAGATTGGCAGCTAATCTGGAGCTGGGCGGAGGCCAAGCTGGGCCGATGGGAGTTCTGGAAGCTCGGCCAGCGGAGCTTCTGTGGTCTGGAGTGCGTTAAAAGAGAGAGAGCACAAATTAAGATGTGTGGAGATGAATGCTCATTAAAAAAAAGAGAAGAAAAAGAGAGAGCATGTTAACCTCTCGGGATCAGCGTCAGGCCTGTGTGTAGATGCGGAAAATGACACACAGCATGCGCAAACGCTGAATGGGGTGGGGTGATCAGTTTGGAGATTACAAGGCTGTATGTATACATCAATCAAGGGATTATCTACAAGAAGGCAAGTGAAATTCTGCCAGCAAATTCTTGGAAGCACAGAAACGGTCTCCACGGAGACCAAGCAGCATTCCTAAATACCGGCCGCCATTATGTAAGAGAGAAGTCTCAGCCTGTCCCTCTGTTTATCCTTTGTTGTCACTTTCTGGGATAATTCTTCTTATGAAGGTACAGGACCCACTGTATTTGTTTTTTCTGTTTGCGTTCATGCTTCCATCAGGATCACACCACCCGTTAGATTTCCTTGACTAAATGGATATGTAACAGTGCATTTATTGGAGCGAAAGTTGGCATTTTTGGTAGCATAATAATAATAAAAGGTTGAAAAACAGAAGTAATTACTGTTTCAGTTCAGTCAATTTTGAAACATTGAAAAGGCTTTTAAAGTTTTTTTCTTTAAATAATGCAGGAGTGAGAGGAGGGTACAGAGTTCCTTCACTGACCTGCTGGTTCGACCCAGTGATGGTCCGACGCCAGAATCCCGTCTCTCCCTCATCCCGTCCTCGGCTTCTCCCAGGGGGTTTCCCGTGCTGTCTTGGTCACTTCCATTCTCGGCCTCTTCCAGCCGGTTCTGCAGAGGGGAGGACGGGCACGGGGACGCCGAGTCCAGCGCGGAGTCGGAGTCCCCTTCTTCCTCTTCGTCGTCGTCGTCCTCCTCCTCCTCGCCGGCCACGGCCTCTGACCAGGCGTTGACGAAGCGCTGCATGCTGCTGTCGTTGCGCAGCGCCTCCTCCAGTTTGTGCTCGTCCCCCTCCTCGTCCTCGCCCTCCTCCCTCTCGGGGCAGGGGACGTTGTCGTAGAAGCTGAGCCGGCTGTCCACGGAGCCGGAGGAGGCGCGGCGCTGGCGTCTGCTCGCCCGCCCGCGGAGGACCACCGGGTTCCCGTTGTCGTTCCCGTTGTTGTTGCGCGGGCTCCCGTCCTGCAGGGCTTTGGGGAAGGTCCCGGGCTTGTGGCCTTCGGGCAGGTAGAAGAAGATCATGCCGCCCTCCTCGTCGTCGTCCTCCTCCTCTTCCTGGCGCCTGCTCTTGCCGGGGGCGCCGCGGTTGTTCCGGCGGTTCTGCTCGTCCACCGACATCCCGTTGCTGGGCGGGCGCGGGACGGGCGGGGCGGATTTGGGCGGCGACGGGTGGCGCTCGGAGCCCTGCTGGAGGAGGCTGAAGGGATCGAAGCCCTCCAGGTACATGCCGCCCCTCTTGCTGGACCCGGCGGCGGCCGTGCTGTGGCTGCGGGCGCGGGTCACCGGGCTGGGCGTGCTGACGGCGCTCCCGCTGCTGGCCTCCGACTGGCTGCTGCCCGTGCTGCCCGTGCTGCCGTTGCTGGTCTGGGTGGAGTAGGACACGGAGCGGTTCCGGTTGAGGGTCATGGTCTGCGTGGGGTCGCGGTGGTGGTTGAGGTTGACGCTGGAGATGTCCACGCAGTTGAGGCTGCGCAGCTTGTCGTCGTCCAGGCCCTCTTTGATGACGGGGCCGCTGATCTCTATCCGTCCTCCCCCCGCGCTGCCCTTCTTCTTCCTCTTCGAGGAGGCGCCGCTGCGGAGCCGCAAGCTCTCCATCCTCTTCAGGAAGCTTTTAGCTCTGGAGCGCGTGCTCTTGCCTCCGCTGCCCCCTCGGTCCAGACTGCCCCCTGCCATGCCCGCTTTGACGTCGAAGGTGAACTGCCGGAGGTTTTCGAGCGGCGATGGGGGCAGCCCGTCGGACAGGGAGTCCTCGTTGGCGCCCCCCGACCCGCCCGTGCCCGAGGACGAGCACATGCTGGCGACCGAGCTGGCGCGGGTGGCTCCGGCCGGCGCGGCCTCGTGCGCGGAGGAGGTACCGTGGCTCTTGTCTTCTCCTCTTCCTCCGCTGCCGCTGCTATGTATGGAGCCCACTTCAGGCTGCTCGCTGAGGTCGGTCAGCATGCTCTCCGAGCTGTTGCCTTCGCGCAGCGCGAGCTTGCCCTTCTGAGCTGCTTGGTCCTTAATAAACGGAGGCTGGGTGGCATCTGTGGGCAACATGGAGAAAACTTCCAGCTCCTCCATGCGGGACCAGCGCTTGCTGTCCCTCTGGAAAGTCCAGCGGCCACTGATGGCACAAGGCTCGTCTTCATCCGAGTCCTCACTCTGAAAAGAGGGGGGAAGGAGTGGAGAAGGGACAGAGGAAAAAGCAAAAAAAAAGAGGAAAAGAGGGGGGGAGACGTTAGATGACATTATGCTCTGCTACTTTTTCCACTTGCACATTCCTCACCCTGATCCAGGAAACTCTTCTGAGGGGGAATTTTCCCCCCAAAATCATTCTATTTTTAAACAGAAAGAAACGAAACTGTATACAATAGCTGTCAAAGACTTTCATAATACAATTACAAACGTATGAGAAGATATATCACATGGTAGTGATAAAAATCAGACAACCGTTTGGGATAACATAATTTAAGCTGACGTGATGTACTTTAGAACATGACGTACTAAACATTACCAGTTAACGCGTTTCTCTCACTTCCTGGCCGTTTGAACAATACAGACACTGAACAATGAGCGACTGGCCCTTTGGTGAGTCACAATTAATGTTGAGGCACTTAACCAAAATGCTTTCACCCCCCGAGCTTGGTTAATCTATTGCAGACCCTGAAGGTCCAGGAAATTCCAATATGACCCCCATTGGTCCCAATGCAGCCAGCCAGACTGGGGTCACCCCTGCCACACGCACACACACACTTCCTTTATACTTATGTTCTGTTCTTGTACCTGAGAGAAATCCAACCATTCCTAATCTTCAATCGGAGTCATGAAGCTAACAAAAAAAGCCAAATGATTTCACCACCTGCTTCTTTGGACCATTTAATCTGAACCCAGAGAAAGACTTTCATTCAACCATCAAAAATAACAATGTAATGGAATTTTGTGTAGGAGAAAAAAATGCAAAAAACCCCAACAAAACGTGCAGATATGCTTATGAGTAAGCGTTAAGACAGACATCTCGGCCCTGTTTTTTAGGGTCTCATGGGGCCCGTTTCTTCAGTTATACTGGAATGCGAGATAACAGTAGTATTAAATTTGTTGTGCACAAAGAGCAGAGATTGGCCCGCAGAGTTGGAACCATTTGTCAACATTTCAAGAGATATCTTATCGAACCATCAAACCACCAAAGCATTCTCTGTGATGGTGGCCTCTTTGAAGGCCGCGTAAGGGGGTTTGGAGAATGAAAATAATTTTCACAATAAAGCAGACAGAGAGTAGCCAGCCACAAAGGAAGGGAAACTGGAAGGTGAAAGGAGAGGGAATGTGAAGACATGAAGAGATCAATGCATTCCTAAGTTGTCTGGGTGGGGGTGTAGCATGGTAGGCTGTCGTCTCATAAGAGCAGAGAAGTCAAAGAAGCAAATAACCTCTTTGACTCCTCCATGGCTCACTGTTGACTTCTGAAATGAAAGGTGACACACAGAGGGTCATCCTAATGAATACCACCACCCATGGAACAAGGATGTTACTATGCAGCCCTTAAAGTGGTTAAGGTTACATAAAAAAGGCCAATTATTCTCACAGAGTGACAGTTTCTCCCTTACAACATTCCAAATTACTTTCAATATGCACAGTCTAAAAGTGGGACTTTCACACAGCTGTCATTCCTTCTGTGAAAGAAAAAGAAAAATACCCTTCCAAGAAGCCGACTTCCTTCAGAAGGAAATCTAAGAGCTGGAATCGTTAAGACGGAATTATCTTACAAACCTCCTTAAACCAGCCATCACTGAACCACTGAAATAATCAAAGACCCTTAAAACCACGATCACATACATGAGATGTATGATAGCACCCTACAGCTTTGTGTTTGGCAATTCAGATCTCCAAACTATCCGACAAAGAGCGGTAGCATGCTTTATAATCAGGGGAGGGACCTGCAAATGCAACTCTGTAGGAGTTCTCCTCCCTCCCTCTAGGGGTTCTTACTGTCCTCTTGATCTGGAAATAAACTCAACAGGTGCCTCCTCATTAACCAAGATGAGAGAAACCACTGCTTTGCCCTGTGGCCGGTGGAAGAACCCGATGGCTGAGGTGAGAAATGCGATTCGGTGTGAAGAGGTTGTCAAAGGGGGCTTTTCCAAAGTTAGGGGCAGAGCGTGTGGGTGCTTGCAGACTTACTCTTTTTCGTTGTGGGGATATATCCAGTCTCATTAGAGCACACTTGTTGAGGGTGTTCAGTCTCCTGCAACAACAAAAAAAAAGACACACAAAAATGGTTACATCGAAAACAATCAGGGTTTGAAACTCTGTTAGGAGGTAGGTGCATAACAGAGGAAAGGATGAAACAAGATGAATAGAAATGGGGAGGAGAAGGACAGAGGGGAAGCCATGGTGAAACCGCTCGAGCCAATTAGCTGCTGAAGGATAATCCCCCTTTATGAACGGGAGGAGAAAGAGACAGATAAGGAGAGAACTGGGAGAGGGAAATCTGCTGGAGTGTTGGAGAGAAAACATGGGGAGGGGACAGAAAGCTTATCCCCCCTGCCACCTGGCGAAGGGGAGCAAGGGTGGTGGTGGAGTCCACCCTCTTGTGAGCTCTTAGACCATATCAAGTAACAATGATGTGATGGGAACCGAGGGATAGTCGGGGTTTGGGGAAAAAGGGTGCAAGGCTGCAAAGAGGGGAGAGACTGCCATGATGGCTTCCAGATGTATGGCGGGACACCTGCTGGGGTTTATTACTGAAAGCTGGGTTTGATGAAGGAACTGACTCCATTAAAAACTCAATAGACCCCTTATCATATGCTAATTAAAGGCAGGACAAAACCCTTTTCAGAAGGCCAATTGAGCACATTTATGAAACTGGCGTTGAAACAAAACTTTCTAATTAAGCTTTTGCTCCAGGACTTAAGGTAGAAAAGGAAAGCGGAGTACCTTGTGTCCATTTTTATATAAGAATTCAAACTTTAGGAACTCCACACAAAGTTAGCATCCAATGAGGAAAAACAGGAGTCAGACAGCAGGCATGATGATACAAAAGACTCCGGCTACAGTGCACCCTCCCAAGGTTCTTATCAACTAATTCCTTTATCTAATCTGAAACTTTCTGAAGCATTTCTCCCTTTGAAGTCGTGCTCCTGTAACTTGATGTGGGGGGGGGGTTAAGAGCGGCACACAAAAGAAGATGAAGAAAGGCATCCACCATTAAAAGAAGGTTTACATATGCCTTGTTATCTCACCTGCAGAGAGCCTCAATGGCATCCCGATCAAGGAAGTCGTGGTCTCTGGTGACTGAGCAAATGTCAATGGGGAACTGGGCATCTAAAAAAATAACAGAGCAAAGAAAGGCAGGTCAGTGTTGGCATTTCTCCAGCGCTAATCTACAACACACCCGCCCGCTCAAACACTTACCTTCTCCCCTCCCCATACAACCTTGATGAAAAGCTATAACAGGAAGTAGTGTCTTACTCCACCAAACAAACACAGCTGCAGCTTTCAAACTGGGCAGGCAGGGGGGATATGGAGCACAGGGGGAGAGAACAGGGGATTGATTGAAGAATGACAATGGGTATTCCACTGCTACCCAAAGCTCCCACTTCCCTTTCTGCTTCCGACTGTTTCTCTCCGGTCTACCCCGATGACAGGGTCCATTCTTTGGCCAGCCACTCCAGCTGAAGAGGTTAACGCGGCTTTAAAAGAGGACCGGTCTAGATGCTCTTTTCTGCCTCTAAATACCAAGAGGCTCTCAGGAATGTGCTGACCTACCCCCCCTCCCAAAAAAAAAAGAAAAAAAGAGAGAATCTTGGCCTGCACCCTAAGGCAAGGTAATGATGATAAGAAAGGAGTCCATCGTCTTTACCTTCTGGCCCTGAAACGGGTCTATCAGACTGCTTATCTTTAGTGGGGCAGTAGTCCTACAGAACAGACAACAGCGTGTGGCAGCAACTCATGAGGTAGCCCCACTGTAAGATCGGCCAGCGATTGGCTGAGGTTTGTGCTTTTTTGAGCTGAATGACCATTCAGCTCGAATGGAACGCTTTCGCAGTTAAGTGGAAACAAGCAATGACCTGTTGACAGTGGGAGCTTGGCCGTGCTGTCATCGTTCTGTAATTACATAAAGCCAAGTGGTATGCAAATGGTTGGCTTTGGTGTAGTTGTACTCCGAGCTATAGGAACGGCAAAGAATGCTTGGTGTATTTTGGTAAGTGCGTATAGAACTGAAGGGTCAAGACATGCTTCCATTCTAAAAGGAGTTTAGAGGCAGCTGAAGACATCCTTTGGGTTTGTTTAATAAACAATGACAACTGGAATCATTTCAATTGCTAATTTGAGCAACGTGCTGTAAGTTCAAATTCTTCTTGTGGAGGAAGGTTACGCAGTGCAAAGCATGGGTGCACGTATGCGCATGTACTCACTGATCTTTAATTTGCATAGCAACAATCGTCATAGAGAATAAGCATCACAGCCTGACCTCCATGAACAAAATAAATAAATAGAAATAGAAATAAAAAACGCAGTTTAGATTGAGTTTGGGAATTTGCTTTGTCTTGTTCATCGTCATCAATGTGATGGTCTATCTCATTTCAACTGTGGAACTACGGTAAATTATGTTTAAAACATATAACCATAGGAATAAGTTCTGATAATGGGTTGGGAGGTTTGTTACCTTCGTAGAGCTGCGCGTACTGTGGGAACCCGGCCGCTCGGAGCCAGGTACAGGCCTCTTTGGCTTCAATTTCTACAGAGAACAACACAAAGAAAGATGGACAAACATGTCAGCGCTTAATATCACAAAAATTAAACGTGTATCTCACTGACTAATCACATTATAAAGTGAATGAACACGTGATTTACTTACAAACAAATGACTAAAGCAAATAGTCATTGTCATTTATCAAAAACGTATCTGTTAAATGTAAACGACACATCATTTGGCAAAGCTATCTTGTTCGAACATCAGTGTCGGACAATCCTGGAACTGTGCACTCTTTCCACGGCTTATCACATGTGAACTCTTTGACCTTATTAGCTATCTCACACTCAGCGACTCTCTGGTCACATGCTCTTAAAGCTGGAGCTCAAAGCATGGTTCAGGCAAATTGCGTTGACACCCTCGGATGCCAAGTGGGTGCCACTTGGGCCCCTTCAGCCATGCGAGGCGACACTTTTCATTATTCCCCTAATCATCTCCAGAGCACGAATGCCTTTGAAAATGTCTGTGTTTAACTGGATGCCACTGCGTGTGGAGGATTATATAAGTGTTGAAGAAGTCTGTGGCGTGCTCTTTCCAAAGAGGACAGAATGCTTTGCGTCAGACGTGTCACTCCCAGTGTGACTGGAATCCAGCTTGTCCCCAAAACCGCCGAGCTAATGCTTTCATAACTCCTTTCAAACACAGGGTGTGACATTCGGGCCTGTTTTGCTAAGTACTCTGACTGAATGATGAGGTTCACGGTATGTCAGGGAAGCCGTGGGGATGGCTCCCAATTATGTGTGAAAGCCTTTTAGATGACATGCGCCAAATGGCTGCCGACACCCTGGCCCGCTCCACGTAGCCGGCAGTTTGAGGAGGGGACAGAAACGCGTCTCAAGGCTGTAAGGAGCCGGCTTTTACAATGCTCCCGCGGCACTCAAGTGGCAGACGGTACAAATGTAGCACAACCTTGGGGAAAAGATAAACCGCCAGGACAAAAGCAGGAAAAGCTACTGGTAAACTATGGATGAAAGCGACAACAAAAGAAAGTCAGGCGGCTGTGCCTGACTTTCTGTGTCTATTAGAGCTTGAAACGAGGTGCTGTTCGATGTTTAAAGTTTTTTCATTTGATGATTGGTATTAAAATTTAGTCTGATTTCACAGGTAAGCGGCTTAAAAAAAACAAAAATCCAAAAGACAAAACAAGAAAATGAAAAGACACTTAATATCTTTGGGAATAACACAAAGATAACTATGTGGTACGTGATGAGAAACAGGTGACACACTGACAACTCCACAGCGAGTCTCTCCTCAAATGAAAGTTGACCATAAAACACTCCGGCTGACAGAGAGGTCAGGACTGTGAGGGGTCTGGTGTGCGCGATATACGATCATTTACATACCAACAACAAGCCTAGACGGCCGATGAGCCCTCTGACAACAAGGTGTGACACAACAGAGTCTAACCCTCTGCTGTTGGAGGGCCACCGCAGGCATGGAAGCAGCGCGCACAAAACGGTGCACAGCACACCACCAATAACTGCTCGTTTGGGAATCAGGCTCCACTTTTCCCAGCGGGCATGAAATGGCGTGTCTTAGAAAAATTGTTCTTTGAACGGGAGTTTAGCCGTGTGCCTCTGGAGGGCTGTGAACTCAGAGGAAGATGGAGACCGGGGGATAATTATGCCCACATTCTTGCAAGCAGGCACACATGCAGGGCTGGAGATTCCTGTGCTCGCTTGTTTATCTGTGTGTATGCGGGGAAAGCGTGTAAGTGTGCACAAGACAGTCTCTGTGTTTGCCTAGGCCAACCTCATGTTTAAAGACAAATCGCTCAAAAGACAGTGAGGGCCATTGAAATGCAAATTAGACATACAAACACATTGATCGCTTTCCACCCCAAAAGCCAAGAATAACAGCTACGGGATCCAATAAGCTGCTTTGGTGGGAGGCTATCCAGAGACACACCCCCGATGGGTTACAATGTGTGTCAAATCTACTTTACAGTATTATAATGTGAACTTAACGTGCCAAAGAAATAAAGAATGACAAAAAAAAAAATGACAACAGCATCCCCCTGTGCAGATGCATCAAACTGAATAATATTTGTCACCGCGCCACATTGTGTTGGGCTGAAGCAAGAATATTTGTCAGCCTTTTGTGTGGCTGCAGGAAGTGGACAGGGGGCATGGGGCATCTGGCACAAACAACTTAACAATAGAGCTTTGCACACATTCATACACATCTCAGCAAAAAAAAAAAGAAAGAAAAAGAAAACAGATAGTTCACCACAGCGACAAAAGGAATTTTACAAGAATATCCTGTCACAAAGGGGTCACCGTGCAACACCCCTTTGCTATCATTTATAAAATTATCTGCTTGCATCTAATGACTGTCTTTGATTCTTAGCTCGGAGTCCATCCCCACTCCCTAACCCGCGCCAGTGGACTACCTCACTTCCTCTTCCTGCTTCCCCGGCAGGAAGAAAGCCGAGCCCGGCGGCAGTCGGCGCTGACCGCTTGGCTGGAGGGCCCTGCCTTCATTTGTTCCCGGCCAGATAATAGGCTCGGAGGCAGCCAAGACAAACACGGGCTCCGGTGATTGTGTGTACAAAGCAAACGTCCCCGTTGTTAGAGGCGGACACAGGGCCGCCGAAGAGCCAACGTCTCGCAGCACGCACTTAGACCCCGCGTAGGACGGCCATAAAGGGCCCGTCAACGGCCTAACCGCCAGAAGAAAGGAGAGTTTCATAACTTTTACGATGGCGGTCTGTGTGTGCCAAGTGGTTGGCAGAACATCAGATAGTACAATTGTAAGGTCAACAGCAACAGACAGACAGGAGTTCTCAAAACACCAGGTACAAAGACAGACAGCGGGTTTTCTTAATGGTCAGAATTAGTCCAGTTTTGGTTTTAATGCTAAATTAACTTCTTATACAATAAGCTTGTCCAACTTGTTTAAATCATACCCATGTTGCCTGAGTTGTTTACTGGTCTAAAGAAAAATGGGAGAAATCCCTTCCTATTAAACTTCCCTCAGCATAAACTGTCACCGGCTGTTGGACGGTTGGTTTGTGCTCAAACTATTTGGTTCACATAGTTCGGACCGGCCTAGTTCAGATCTAAGCTGTAGGTTCATTCTGGTTGACGAAACACCGCCTCTCGAAAGGGGGGGAATCTTAAAGTGAGTAGCAGATACAGCCGCTAAGGCCTGACCCGATGCTAGGAAATGTCATACCATGTCATTCTCTCCTACTCAGCGGTCAAAATGAAATTTAAAACTTCCCAAAGTGACCCATCATAGCCACCCCTCCCTTTTTACAAAATGTTTTTAACCTTCTCTCAACCTCCCCCCCCCATCTCAAACACGGCCTCTGCTTATTTCAACCATGCTTGCCACTTCTTTTCTCTCCCTTCCGGAGGCAGGATATTCTCACAATTGCCGGCCGGAGCTTTCCTCCATCGCAGGAGGCAACAGGGTTTGGCTAGACTGCGCCTGAATGTGCAGCTCCAATGGGAGTTTGTCAGCGGTTAGCAAACAAAGGATGCTGCTCCCCGCCTCAAAAGGCTCTGCTGTGGCAGGCTGGAGGTCAAGAGTCTGAATCCAGTTATCTGTAATGCAGGGGCTTTGAAGTGGGCAGGTTAGGAAGAATGCTTTTCTAGTGTCTGTAGCTAATCTAGAAACATGCAGTGATTGCTGAGTTTAGAAGTGTTGTCTCTAAAAAACAATCAAACGTCGAGGCTCTAATGTAGTCCAGGGTGGAGTGGGTCAGTCAGTGGGGCCTGAAAAGTGGGCCTGGACAGGTGGAGTTATAAACAAATCCGGCAGTAAAATACAACAAGGAAGGAGGCCAAAGGCATCTTTTGCTCTTCTATAATCTTAATTATTACATTTGTTTCTTCAAAACTTCCCGTTTCCTGTATGAAACACACGGGACAACTGGAGATAAGGGTTTTGGTATGACCCTTACTGGAATGCCAAACAAGTTTTTTTTCTTTATGGGTATCGTGTTCTACGATTCCACTACTCGGACAGCTGGTGGTCGCAGAGAGGGTCTGGCTGTTGGCTAAGTGATATGATGCCAGGAATACTGCCATCTGGTTGGCCTCAAGCTATGATCCGTTGACACACACATGCACACGGGGACAAAAGAGAAGAAAAAAAAAAGTTACCAACACTGTCCGTTCCAGCTATCCACCACCAGCTGGTGCAGGCATGCAGGCCTGGACCCAGCAGCACACACACACACACACACACACACACACACACACACACACACACGCAGACCCACAGCTGGCCCAGATGGATCATCGCTTTGCTAACCCCACCGGGCCCCGTGCCCCCCTGACGACAGATTTATGCTCACGAGGAGAGGGCCCTATCCCAGGATCCGGTGACCAGACATATTCAAACCTTTGAGGGGCTTTTCTAAAGGCAGATGACAGCTTACCTGCCAGGAGACCCCCTCCTCCCTCCTCCTCACCCCATCCTGCTGTAAATTACCAGATCTAAGGGCAGCAAAGTACATACAGCACCAGGAAAAAAAAAAGGAAAAAAATCCAACATGTGGAGCTCCTCACAGGACATACAGAGACACATGAATATAAATCTCACAGAGAATCCTGCGGCTCATTTCCCTTCCAGCAGCGTGCAGACCAGGCCTGTTTCCTTCATTAGCTCGTCAGAGAACTAATGAAGGAAACACTGCCTAAATACTGCTCGCATTGTGTAAAATAATGCCGAGGTGTGGAGCAGAAACAGGGACCGGCACTCTTTGGCATCCCTGAGTTGGTGGTAACCTCACGTTATTTTTTAATCCAGCTCGCTCAGTGATGGCCGGATGCCCTCCAGCTCGCCCCTAACGGTTTTACGGCTTAACTGAACCTCAAATATCGACTACACACCTTAGGTTACTGATAAAAAAAAGAGCCATATGCTGGAACAGGCAGCTGATGAGATGGGGAGGGGGGAGGAAACACTAATCAATGAAACTTTGACAGGGACACAAAAAAACCCCAACTTCAAACAGGGTTTCACATAAGCAAAAGACATCCATTAAGGCAGAAAGAAAACCCCAAAGCGCAGGGATGTGACTGGTACCAGCCTATACCTGCGGATAATCTGAATAACACTTTGAACAGGCTCAACATTCCGCTTCGGGCTCTCTAACCGTTCCAGAGCCTTCCTCTGGCTGCCCTGTGCGTAAAAAAAAAATGGATTGGGAGAAGAGTTCCGCGCAGGACTATGACCGCGGGGTTGGAAAAGCATCCACCAACAGAGTCGGTGACTTGGGGAAGGGGTTATCTGGTAAAAAGCCGAACCCGGGGACATGCAGGGAAGTGCAAACAGGAGTGGGGACGTGGAGGTATGCGGCGAGCGGGCAGAGTTCTTATCTGACAGCCGCAAGCGCTGCGCCTCCACCAAGACCTGGAAGAGCCTACATGGTAAAGGGAGAACTACAGCAGACAGTCCAGGGCTTTTTACCGCTACATGTTACCTTCACATAAGGGAATTTCCCTTTCTACACATCCATACGACTGAGCGCCGTTTCTCCTTAATAAACAGGAAACCATTTGGGTGGAAGGAGATTCTTTCTCTTCCCCTTTCGATAAATTAAAAAAAAAAGAAGAAAGAAATCACAAAAAGCCACACGCTTCTTCTTGATCTACTTACGTGTTAATATCATTTTTAACCGTCAGGCTTTCACCATGAGAGCGACCTCCAGGCTCCGGTTAGGACGAAGTCCGCATGATAAGCTCCACAGCGAGAAAAACAAAAACAAAACACACACCAAAAAAGCACTACACCGTGGGTGGCGAGCATCCTCCAACAGCTACGCGTGAAAGTAAATCCATGGTTTCTACTTTTAGTTTTTAAATGAAAAAAGACCCTTGCGATGGGCGAGAATTCCGCGCGTCCGAGCTCCAAACCGACGGATCCGTGGAGTTCCCAGCAGGAATGTGAATGAAGAGCGTAGTGTGATTCAAGCTTTAGGAATGGGCGACTCTGCCCTGGCTCCACCCCCCCCCACCCCCCCCCCCCCCCACGCCCCCACCCACACTGCGCTTCCCCACCTGATAAGGAGCGGGACGCGCAGACGCGCACTCTCCCCACGGCACAAGTCACCCAAGACGTTTTGTTTACTGCGGAATGATTAGATCAGATAAGGAGAATAAAAACGTGGCGCCTGGAAAAAAGTCACGCGAGCGTTGAGCTCCTCGTGGAAAAACTAAAAGCCTTCAAGTTTTATTCGGATAAGCGTTATTTTTGTATTTTACCAAGTTCGCTCGTCTATAAAAGCGCTTCCTACAAAGTGATTAACTGGTGGGGACTCCTCGCTACTGGCCTGGGCCTCTCCCTCCTCCCTAATAAGCCGCGGCTGACTCGGGGGTCAGTCGTCAGTTTTGCATATCATTAGAAAACTCGGGGAGACAACTGTGAGACGCTCTTTTGTGACGCCAGATTAGGCTGAAAAGCGCAAGTGGTGCACTTAAAAGACCACTGTTGCAGGTATGGTAATGCCCCCCCCCCCCACACACACGCCCACGTCCACGGCGCACCTCACGCACGTGCACCACGCTCAGGATGACTACAGGAAGTCTGGGCGAGTTTGGAAACTTCCAGGTTTTATTCCATACTTCATATATACATTTGAAAAAAAACTGGCAGAGACTTTACTTTCTCCATTTCTGTTGGTAGGTTTTTAACCCCATGGCAACGCTGAGGTGGCACAGACGGGGAGCCTGGGAAAATACTTGTCATCCAGAGGCTGGACGCCAGAGCGGTGGGAAAAGGATGAGGCAGAAAACCCTGGTGCCGGTCCCAGCTGACGGCACACTCAGAGGTGATTCAGCCCAAAGGATTCCGCCAGCTCCGGCCTTCTGAGAGGCCCGGGATCATCTGGAATTTCTGCCATTTGTGTTGAGCAGCTGCAGTTTAAAACTGGTCCTCATCAAAAATGAACTTCTTACTTTTTTTTTTCCAAATATGCCCTCACATGACGTTTCTACGACTTGTTTCATCCACAAGAGTGACATAAAAATATAAAGTATTTAAAGCCTATTTCAGACACGTGATGTGGAACACTAATCATAGGAACGTTTTACACTTCTGTTTATCAGCA